AGTTATCGCATGGAGATATTTTGAAGATGTTGCTCAACTTGAGTCTTGATTGTGAAAGTTTGAAGAAAACATTGGATATGTACATATTAGACTCCTAAGTTGAAGAGATTGTGAAGAATTTAGATGTTAAAAATTCCACAAAGAAGGATGTTTCTTAAGTTTCCTTATCTCATTCTCCAAACAAGATGCCCCCGTCCATAATCCAACCACCCACACTTAAATTGAAAGTATTGCCTAGCCATTTGAAGTACGTTTATCTAGGTCAAGACGAAACTCTTCCAGTGATTATCTCCTCTCAATTGAAAGACTTTGAAGAAGATCAACTGGTTGAAGTCTTGAAAGAACATAAAGAGGCAATGGGATGAACAATAGCGGACATTAAAGGGATAAGTCCTAATGTATGCACACACAAGATCCTCATGAAATATGATTGTAAGCCTAGAAGATAAGATCAAAGAATATTAAATCCTCCCATGATGGAAGTTGTTAAGAAAGAAATAATCAAACTCCTTGATGCGGTCATGATTTACCCGATTTCTGACTCCAAGTGGGTTAGTCCGGTCCAAGTGGTTCCCAAGAAAACGGGAATCATGGCTGTTGAGAATAACAAAGGAGTAATGGTACCCACTCGAGTTCAAAATGGATGGAGGGTGTGCATTGATTATAGAAAGTTAAATTCAATCACACGAAAAGATCATTTTCCTTTTCCTTTCATCGACAAAATGCTTGAGATATTGGTGGGCAAATCGCATTATTTTTGCCTCGATGGATACTTGGGTTTTCATCAAATACTCGTTTCCCCCAAAGATCAAGACAAGACTACTTTAGCATGCCCTTTTGGCACGTTTTCCTACAAGTGGATGCCATTCAGATTATGCAATGCCCCCGCCACATTCCAAAGATACATGGTGAGCATCTTTTCCGAGTATGTTGAGAATATAATTGAAGTGTTTATGGACGACTTTACCGTGTATGACAATTCGTTTGATGAATGCTTAGATAATCTTAAGAAAATTTTGAAAAGGTGCATTGAGAAAAAGTTGGTGTTAAACTTTGAGAAATGTCATTTCATGGTCAAGCAAGGCATAATCTTGGGAGACATCGTCTCTAAAAAGGGAATTGAAGTTGATAAAGCCAAAATTGATGTCATCGAAACCCTTCCTTACCCAACATGTTTTAGAGAGGCGGGATCTTTCTTGAGCCATGCGGGATTCTATAGAATATTTATCAAAGATTTCTCGAAGATCACACGATTGATGTGCCTCCTTCTCCAAAAGGATGTTAATTTTGACTTCAATGTCGCATGCCAAGAAGCCTTTGACAAACTCAAAGACTTGCTCACGTCCGCTCCAATAATCCAACCTCCAAATTGGGAGTTGCCTTTCGAAATTATGTGTGATGCAAGCAATTTTGACATTAGAGCGATTTTGGGTCAAAGGGAGGGAAAAGCATCACATGTTATCTACTACGCCTCCAAAACCTTGGATAATGCTCATGCCAATTATTCCACCGCAGAGAAGGAACTTCTAGCTATTGTATTCGCCTTGGAGAAATTTCGGCAATACCTTCTTGGGATAAAAGTGATTGTGTACTTCGACCATGCCGCCTTGAAATATCTCATGACCAAGAAAGTTGCCAAGCCATGGTTAACTCGGCGGATTCTTCTTTTACAAGAATTTGATCTTGAGATAAAGGACAAAAGTGGTGCAGAAAACCTAGTTGCGGATCACTTAAGTCTGTTGAATATCGATGATTCTTCTTCTTCCATCCTTGATGAATTCCCGGATGAACACCTCTTCTACATTTCAAACACTATTCCATGGTATGCGGATATTGTGAATTACTTGGTTACGAAAAGAAATTGCCCACGCATTTACCAAGCACCAAAAGGCCAGGTTGAAGAGTGATTCCAAATACTACATATGGGACGGCCCTTATCTTTGGAAACATTGTTTGGATCAACTAATACGGAGGTGTGCTCACCAAAATAAGGTCGAGTCTATCTTGAAGTTTTTCCATGAGAATGCATGCGGAGGACATTTTGGTCAAAACAAAACCATGTGAAAGGTGCTCGAATGTGGACTATATTGGCCAACTATGTCAAGAGATACTTATGTATTTTGCAAGAGTTGTGATAGATGTGAAAGAATGGGCACCATATCCATGAAAAACAAAATGATTCAAAGCCCCATTCTCATTTATGAGATCTTTGATGTATGGGGAATTGATTTCATGGGCCCTTTCCCCGTCTCTTTCGGATACACTTACATACTCTTGGCGGTTGATTACATCTCAAAGTGGGTGGAAGAAAAGGCTACAAGGCATGATGATTCTAAAACTATAATTGACTTCTTGAAGTCAAACATTTTTTCGCAAGATATGGTGTACTGAGATCTTTAGTAAGTGATAGGGGAACTCATTTTTTCAATAAAATGATGGAAGCCATAATGAAGAGATATGGTGTCACACACCGGATATCAACCGCCTATCATCCGTAAACAAACGGCTAAGCCGAAGTGTTAAATCGAGAAGTCAAACAAATTCTTGAAAAGACGGTCAACACCACACAGAAATATTGGGGCTTGAAGTTAGAAGATGCATTGTGGGCATATCAGACCACCTATAAAACCCCAATCGGCATGTCTCCCTTCCGCCTTGTCTACGGAAAGTCTTGTCATTTACCAGTTGAATTGGAAGACAAAGCATATTGGATGGTTAAAAAGTGTAACTTCAATATCGAAGAAACTGGGAAGCACTGAAAGATGCAATTCAAGAAATTGAGGAGTTGAGGAACAGGTCTTATGAAAATGCAAGCATCTACAAAGGTAATACAAAAGCGTTTCATGACAAGCAAATCACTCGTAAGCATTTTAATCCAGGGCAAAGAGTTCTTCTTTATCATTCACGCTTAAAGCTATTCCCGAGAAAGTTGTGATCTCGATGGAACGAACCTTTTATTGTTATAAAAGTGTTTGATCACGGTGCGGTTGAAATTAAGAGTTTGGAAACAAACCAAGTATTCAAACTGAATGGGCATCACTTGAAACCATTTTATGAAGGCTTTAACATGGGAGAATTTGACAACATAACATTGGAAACTCCGAATTACGAAGGTTGACGGAAGCAGGGCTATGTCTTGACAAAGACGTTAAATAAATGCATTGTAAATGAATAATCTCCGCTTGAAGTTTTGGATGTTTCTAAGCTTGAAGTTGGTATAAAAATAAGCATATTGAGGTCTAGCAATGATCTTGGTGAAGTTTGAAAAATGCCAAAAATCTGCACTTTGTGCGGGTACCCGCACAACAGTTGCGCGACCGACTCCCAGCCGCGCAAATCCGAGTCTAAATTACCTCCACATGGGATGCACACTGATGTATACGCGCAACTGAACCCCCACCCACGCTGGTTTTGCGCGACCTGATCTTACCCTCACAAGCCCGTTGCACGGCTAGCCTCCACCCTCACAAATGTTGCACGACCAAGACCAAATTTCTATACCCATTGCGCGACCCACCAACCTTATAACATCCACCCATGCCTACTACCCATCAGCCCATATCCATTTTATTACCCACCCAACTACCCGGTAACCTGATCCATGCCCGAAACTAACCCACCATTCGACCCGATACCCGACCCATTAACACCCAACCTTATACCTCCATAACCCGTCGGACCCCCTTTCCCCTTATGCCCCCCATCGACAACGAAAACAACGATCCAACAAAACCCATCCGCCGCCAATGTCCGCTACACCCGCTGCCACCGACAAATTCCAAACAGCACACGTCGTCGCTGCCGGTCGGTGCTACAGCACAACACAACACGTTATCAGTCGCCCTGCCTCTTCTCTAGCCGCTAACAGTCTCCGATTTGGCACCTCCCTTCGTCGCTGCAAAAACCCAACCAACCACCATTTCCGTCTTCCTTGCTGTTATCACCGGCTCTCCCACTCAAGCCTAATCCCCATACAATTCCGACCAGCCCCATACCTTTCTTCGCCAGCAACAACCTGCCTAACACCGCCATTCCCGTGCTCGCCGAAAAACCGAACAAGGCTCATATCTCCGCCAAGTCTCAGTCAAATTTGCAATTTCTTGGTGCATTATTCTCTAAACATTCTACCATACGCCGATCTACTATTAATTCAGGAAAATCTCATCGTCGGAAAACCTAGCTCCACCGCTGGCTGCCGTCTGTCACCGCCGTCGGCCGCCACCACTCATTTTGACCAAAAATTTCAAAAAAATTTCTCACCGGAGTTTCAAAAGATTCAATCTTGTGGGTCAAATTCAAGCTTGGGTGCGGTTTTAGCGGATTTCTTTTCGGGTTTCGACACTCGAAATTGGTACATTTATTTTAATTCTATTGCATTCAATTTCTAATTTCGTAAGCTTGTGCTATGCATTCGGTTGATTAGAATTAGACTTAGTTTGTTTTGAATTGATTGGATTACATTTAATTGAATTGTGCCAAATTGCAAGTTTGGAATATTTGCCCGGTTTATATTTTTGTTATTGATTTGATTGGATTGGTGTGAGGGATAATTTTTGCCAAGTTTTTGTGTTTGTTAGGTTATATTGATAGGTGCAATGGGAATGAACAAAACAATTTGCGCATCTCATGGTTCTTCCCATGAGGCTTCACCATCGCGATCAACAAAAAAAGTGTCAACCAAGAATACCGATCGTGAGGGTAACCTTGTCCTTACTAGCACACAAATCAAACAATTCAAGTCAAACCTCCAAAAATGTGCAATTCGAGCCACCAAATTTTACCACCAAGACTCAATGACGCACCTTGGACTTGACGATTGCTTGTAACAGATGTTCTTCAACATTGGTTGGCACGAGTTCCTCGCTCTTTCCGCACGCACATACAAACAACCCATTCTAGACCTTCTCTCCACTTATGCACGGGATGACACAACGGGGGTGCTCACATTTAAACTCTAGGGTTGGCAACACCGACTCACATATGACACCTTCAACACCAACATGGGCACAAACGATACCTTCAACACTGAAATCTATAGCCATCAGTGGACTCAATTCAAGAGTGTGCCTAATGTAGAGTTCTGGGCTCAAATAACTAGTCTTCCAAACTTCAATCCAAGTCGACAAAAAGATCCTTACATTATCCATCCTTGTTGGAGAATCACCCACTGGATCCTTTCCACTTCCATCTTTGGTCGTCACGATCCGGGACAAATAAACATATTAGAGCTCTATTTCCTCTATTTTATGAGCAATCGTAGTTGGTCTTGCCCCGGTTTCGCCACCTTTTTCCTGGATAAATGTGACTGCATCCGCATGAAGACCACTAGCGACATTTGCATTGGAGGTCTCATTACCCTAATTGGTTTGGGTGTGGGCCTTCAATTTCCCGAGTCTGAGTACGTACCAGTGGATGACCCACCTTTCTACCTCATTGACTACATAGCTCTCACCCAGATGGATTTACTGATACCTCATCCTAACCGTCGTAACCATTCTTCTTGGCTCAATCATGTCAAGGAACCAGTTTACATATTGCCTAATCCTAGCATCTCCGCCTTTTCCACCAGTGACCCCGAAACTTGGTTCTTGCCTGAAGAGTTACAAGATGATGATGAAATACAAGTCGACAATTCCAATGTAGGTAGTCCACTTGAGGCCGAAGACCATTATGACCTCCTGATTCAACAATTGCCACCACCCCTTTACGGCCAGCCTTCGTGAGAACATTTTGAGCCACAGCATGAGTACCACTCCTATCCACAACGCAATGAGCCCGATCTCGAGCATGAGTTTCGTCTTGATATCTACAGTCAACTTGCCTCCTTGTGCCTCCAGGGCAACCAGAATACAGCCGCCATTCGCCGCATCGAGGAACAGCAAGCCTGCACCAACAACTACATGGAGGACCTTTGGCACCAGTTTCTGCCCGAAGGCAGTTACCGCCCTTGAGGGCCTCTTCCATCTTGATCCCGGTATGATCCTTCCTTACTCTCATCCTAAGCATTAAGGACAATGCTTCATTTTATGCTTGGGGTGAGGTATTTCTTATCTTTTATTTTTTTATTGCATTTAGGTTGTATATAGTTAGAGTAACTCATTTAGGTCATTCATAAAAAAATTTCAAAAATATTGCATCTGTTGTTGTTGTTTTTTTTTTTTTCTAGTTTTCATTTTTTTAGATGCATTCTAGTTTAAGTTCATGCATTTTTGTTCTCTCTTGTCTTCTCATCCCTACAGGTACCATAGCGCCGAGTCATAAGTATTGAATCATAGATTGGTCCTGGGTCTTGATATGGAATTCCTTGTATTTGATAAATAGGACACGTTTTAAGCCTCGCAGACCACTTTGAGATCGCTTGTGTGGGGGTCAGATGCAGGTAGCTTGATTGGGTCTAGGTGCGGAGGGATGTGGTTGGTCATGCCAATGTCTGCGAGCAAAGATTAGCTCGGTAAGGTATTTTGAAGAGATTGAAGATATTGAAGACTTGCATATTGGTTTTGGGGGGAGTACTCCTTAGTACTCCTGAGTCTCGTCCGAGCCTTTTAAGATAAGTTATCATTTTTCTAAGGGTCTAGAGTAGATAGTTAGATAGAATTCATTTATCACACCTTGCATTGAGGTGCTTTATGAACGTTGAGTCGGGTCCCCCAATTCACATCTTTTGGGACCAAGTTTTTTTCGGTAACACCCATTTTTGAGTCCTACCCCACACTTTTTAGTAGATCTTGACACATTGTTAATGATCATTAGGTGTTCGTGTTAAGCCTCTGTCTACTACTTCATTCTTACTTTTAGAGTGCTATGTTACATGGTGAAATTCTTTAGACATTCCAAGAAGAAAACACAAAAATTGAAGAAAATTGGAAAAAGTGAAGACAATAAGAGATGATAAAAGACTATTCCAGAAAAGCAACAAAAAGAAAGAAGAAAAATGAAGAAAAAGATCAACAAAAAAAGAATAACGAGACTCCAAGTTCAAGACTTCTCCAAAATAAACGAGAAGTTGAATGTCAAGCAACAAAAGAGGCTGAAATCCAAATAACAGAAGTTCAAGATTGAAGATTCGAGTTGTAAGGTTTAGATTTAGGTTAAGTATAATTTTTATTATTTTATTTTATTTTTTATTTTTAGTGAGAAAAGGCCCTGAAGATGAGATGATAGAGTGTAAAGGACAATACAAGGGAGAAGCCTCTGAAACCGGATGTTTGCCCGGAGGCCATGCTACAAAACCCTATTATGTATTATACACTTTAGCCTAACAAATGTAGGAATCATTGTGTTTGAAGAGACGCCTTTCCTTCATGCATTATGATCTGCATTGGTGATTCCCCCATTGGGTGCATTTGTGTTCTCTTTGTCTTGCACACCGCAAATACCTCCAGTCGTGATCTATTCGCCCATCTAGTGGTCAAGAATGTGGTCTATGGATCTAAAGCGGGAAACATTTTGAAGATGCATAGGGTCCATGAAGGACTAATTCTGACCATGTTGACTAATGATGGTATCTTTCTTTTTCCTTTTTAGTTTAGCTCATCCCGAGCTCATTTTAGTCTTGTTCTAACTTGAGGACAAGTTAGGTTTAAGCTTGGGGTGATTTGATAGATTATATTATTTCCTTATTTTTATTATTTTATTTTGGTATTTTTAGCTCTTTTAATTAGTATTGCATTGTGTTTTATTTATTTTCTTTATTATGGATCGTTTCAAGGACTTTTTATTTTGCATCAGGAATTTTGTAGGGTTTTGGAGCTCATTGCGGTTTCGTTTTGACTGGAGTTGGGCTTAGTAGGCTTTTCGATGCATTCTTGAGCTTGGCGGATCCACCAAAGAAGAATTGGGCTTAAAAAGCTAAAGGCTTGGAGGAAATGGGCTTGTGAAGATGGATCTTGGACTTTTATTTTGGGCTTGGAGCATCCACTTTTGAAGCTAAAAGATGATTGGTTAATTTGAATCACATGGATATAGAGGGGACCAAAGGAATCTTTGGTAGTGGAAAGGTGGAGTGGAGGAATAAGGAGCCAATAGCATTACAGCAACACTTGCGTGGGTGGAATCTCCGTCGCACGGGTACCCGCGCAACTGCCCAGTTTGGGCATTTGGGTCATTTGGCACACCATAACCTTGGGGGATCAGATCTATCATCTACATTCTCGATTTTTTTACCATTTGAGACCTGGAGGAGGCGATTTTGAAGCTCAAGATTCATTTCTTTTCATCTTTCCAAGATATTGGTAGTTTCTTTATGCAATTAGACTTTTGTGATTGTTGTTCTATTGCCATGAGTGTCTAAACTCTCTATTTTGGTTGACCTTTGCTAAAACCTCTGAATGTTTGTGGGTTTTCGAAGGATTTATGCTTATGTATTATTTATCTTATGTCTATGATTCTAGTTTATATTTTCTATGCTTGTTTAGTGATTTGATCATGAGCTTGGTACTTTAGTAAGCAATTATTGGTTTATTTCTTTGGTTTAGCATTGAATCATTGAATTTACTTAGAACAAGAGCTTTATGATGGTAGAAATCATCTCTAGTTTGTGAATCATAACTCATTTATGGATGTGTAAGCATTGACATCCTCTAGGAATTAGGGATTTCTTCATTCTTAAGGCTAATCAACTTCTTGGGCTCATTTGCTTCAATTGGATCTTTGATTTTGATTAAGAAGGTGTTTGTGGGCTTCCCCAACTTTGTTTACCAATTCTCTCCAATATTTAAGCATCTCACTTTCATACTTAATTGCAAGTTTTTAGTTATTCAAGTCTTTTAGTTTTCACGCAATTATAACACCCCCCCCCCCCCCCCCCCCTCTTAGTTTAATTGTACTTAGTTAGTTTATTTACAATAGTTCTTTTAGATTGCATTGGTGATTGAATACAACCATTTCTCTGAGGATCGATACCCCTTTTTACCTTTATATTATGTTTTATGATATGTACTTGACCCGAGAGTAGCTTGGTCCATTTAGGTTGCATGGCATCGGAACAATTTGGATAGACTTTTGTGACAATAGGATATTTATGATTTATTAATATATTATAAATTCTAATATCTTAATATGAAATCATATTATTTAATTAGTATTAATCAAGAATTAGTTTGGAACTAATTTTGTAATCAAAAGAGACTAATTAAATAAATGGGGTTTGATTCGGTAAATCATTCGTTTTTATATAGTGGGCTTATGATCCATAGTTCTTCATGTTGGGCTAAATCCATATGGTGACCAATGGATATTGTGAAAGTTAAAACCTATGGATCATGAGGAATATGGAAAGTCATGAGATGCATGGTGTACCCCTAATATGCACATTATATAAGAAGCCTCATAGCTCATGAAATTGGCACTAAAGAGTGACTAGTGATAGATACATGAGGGCTAGCCAATTTTGAGTGTATATAATCTTCTCTCAATTCATTCCAATTGTTGGTGGTGTTGTGTGAACCATTTGAGGTGCAACACTTGGGGCACTAAGCTCTTTAAGGTCCAAGGAATCAAGCAACAAAAAAAGGTATGTCATTAAACTATATTTCATATTATATATACTCCATAATATGCTAGTTAGGATGATACCTTGGAAAATTGATATTTTCATGTATGATAGAGAAAACATAGATCCAAGGTATATATGATTGCATGTACACCATAGGAGTGTTAGAATGCTCAAAACCCAACAGTGGTATTAGATACTAGGCTTATTTTCAATTATACTTGATGAAAATTGCTTTAAAATCGAGTTTTTTTGCTGTCAAGACAGTGGACTCGCTGAGTCCACTAGCAGACTCGTCGACTTGCATGCATTTTGCCTAGGACTCATCGAGTCCAGTAATGTGCTCGACGAGTTGGCAGTCCAGATTGTAGGTTTTCGATGTTTTTGGCTGGAATTAGACTAGGATCATTACTCTAAGTTGTTTTTGAACTTATAAACCTGCTTTTGATGTGGTAATGATCATTCTTATCCAATTTAAAAGATAATTGTCAAAGTTTCATTTTTTGTATTAGTTTATACGGTTAGGCTAATTACATGAAATTTGTTTGATATGAATTGTCTTGTGCTTATGAGTTTGATTTAAATCATAGATAAATTGATTGTTTTTGTATGTTACAATTTTGGTGTAAATATTTTTTGATGAAATCCATAACTTGTCCTCAAGTTATGGAAAAGTGAAAAGTCTTTCTTTTAAAATTCATTAAAACTAATAGGTTATAGAAAAATGAAGAGTCATTTTCATAAACGGTTTTATGAACTCCATAACTTGTCCTCAAGTTATGGATTTTCAAGAGTCTTTTCATTTAATCTTATATTAAACTCATAAGTTATGGATTCCAAAAGTTTTTGAATAGTTCAAAACTTGCCCTCAAGTTTTGGAATTTGTAAAGTCACTTTAGAATACTTTAATTTCAAACCCTAGAATTTTAAAAGTTTAAAATTCAATCCTTATACTATTATAATACTATAGGTTTAATATATATATATATATATATATATATATATGTGTGTGTGTGTGTGTGTGTGTAATATTAAAGTCATTCTTACAGTTAGTAGGCCTCATTCACGAAGCCGGACTATAAGGGGGTATAAGATTACTGCCTATAAAATGATAGTTTAATTGGTGTCCACTCTCACCCATCGCTTCCTTGACTTGTGGAGGGTCATTAGCCGAACGGGTAGGATAGGACTCTAATTTTCCATTCATTAAAAGTATAATGATAAATATAA